ATGTATTTACTGTGATATGATTTTGAGAGTTTTATAATCATTGTGACACAAGGATTTGTTTAAGACTTTGTATAAATTCTACAAAGAAGACCTGATTATCCGACTCCGTAATGAAGAGGATAATAGATATAAATGAGCGAGTACCTCCTCAGTGAAGGCCAATGTCATTGAGCATGGCAAATTTTCTGGGATGAGGAACCCCCTTGAACAAGGGCTCTTAGCTGGGGCCAAGGGGTGGTGTTGCAAAGAAGCTGGCATACAAGCCGCGGGAACCTGGTTCTCGGTTCTTTGGGAAGTGCTACAACTGTGGTAGTGAGGCTTTTAGTTTTACTAGGGCTACACGCCACATCTGCTCCGAGAAGGAGTTTGTTTACAACTTTCAAACCGGTTACAAACGGTGAGAAGTTGTTTATGGGAAACTCTACTACCTCATTTGTTAAGGGAAATGTGGTCCTGATGTTAACCTCAAGAAAAGAGCTAACCTTGAATGAAGTCCTGTATGTTCCGGACATTCGTTAGAATCTTGTCTCAAGGTCTCTTCTCAGTAAACATGTTTTTCGCATGGTTTTTTGAGTCCGACAAGGTTGTTCTGACGAAACACAAGTGTGAAACTTGTGTTGAAGCGAAGCGAAGTGGACAAGATCCCGTATGAGTTATGGAAAGGCGTTAAGCCTTCATATAAATTCTTACGAATGTGGGGGTGTCTTGTAATAGTGGCGATTCCTACACCCTAACGGGGGATAGGCCCAAAATATGTGGGATTGTATATCTCATTTGGTTATGCACATAATAGTAGTGCCATATCGGTTTCTAGTTCATAAGTTTTTGAATTTCCAACATACACAGGAATACATCATGAGATCAAGGATGCAGTAGTTTCTTTGAAGACATCTTTTCCTTGCCGAACCCATGCAGGGGGTCTTTGGAGCAATTTGATGAGCTTGCTAGTGATGATGATCATGTTGATGATCCAGGTGATGATCAAATTGAGGTTTTAGATGAGCCCAGATGGAGTAAAAGGGCTAGGACATCCAAATCTTTTGGTCCAGACTTCTTAACTTATATGGTTGAGAACTAACCTCAAACTTTCCACGAAGCTGTGACTTCTCTTGAGAGTCCTTTATGGAAAGAAGCGATCAAAAGTGAGATTGACTCCATCTTACAGAACCACACCTGGGAGTTGGTAGATTTACCTCCAGGTTGTAAGCCTTTAGGTTGCAAATGGATTTTTAAACGAAAGATGAAGGCCGATGGGTCTATTGACAAGTATAAGGCGAGGCTCGTTATCAAAGGATACAGGCAACGAGAAGTCCTGGATTACTTTGATACGTACTCACCTGTAACTAGGATAACATCCATTCGCATAGTGATTGCGATAGCAGCTTTGCGCAATCTTGAGATACACCAGATGGATGTAAAGACAGCTTTCTTAAATGGGGATTTGAATGAAGAAATCTACATGGAACAACCTGAAGGGTTTTCAGCTCCAGGGAAAAGCAAGAAAGTCTATAAACTTGTCAAATGTTTGTATGGTTTGAAGCAATCGCCTAAACAATGGCATGAGAAGTTTGACAATGTAATGTTGTCAAATGGGTTTCGAATCAACGAATGTGATAAGTGTATTTATGTCAAAGACACTGACAGAGGTTATGTCATTTTTTGTCTATATGTTGATGATATGCTCATTATAGGTAGTAACGATGAAATGATCAAAACTACCAAGAAGTTGTTAAACTCTAAATTTGACATGAAGGATATGGGCATTGCAGATGTTATTCTGGGAATTAAGATTACCAGAATCTCTGGCGGATTTGTACTTTCTCAGTCTCATTATGTTGATAAGATACTTGAGAAGTTTAGTGGATCAGATACGAGTGTGTCATCGACACCTGTAGACTTAAGTCTACACTTTACCAAGAATAATAAAGAGAGTGTCTCTCAGTTAGAATATTCTCGGGTAATTGAAAGTTTAATGTATCTGATGAGTTGTACTAGGCCAGATATAGCTTACTCGGTTAGCAGGCTTAGTAAATACACAAGTAATCCTGATACTTCTCATTGGAAGGGCATTGTGCGGGTGTTAAGGTATTTACGCTACACTCGGGATTATGGACTGCATTATACTCGATATCTAGCGGTGCTTGAAGGATATAGTGACGCGAATTGGATATCAGATATAAAGGACTCAAAGTCCACTAGTGGATATGTGTTCACTCTTGGTGGGGCAGCCGTGTCTTGGAAATCTTCCAAGCAAACGTGTATATCTAGATCAACGATGGAATCAGAGTTTATTGCTTTGGATAAAGCAACGGAAGAAGCAGAATGGCGTCACCATTTCATTGAAGATATTCCACGTTGGTCTAAACCTGTGCCAGCTATTTGTATTCATTGTAATTGTCAATCTGCAATTAGTAGGGCACAGAGTAATATGTATAATGGAAAGTCTAGATATATCCGTCCTAGACATAATTCCATACGACAACTACTCTCGAATGGAGTTGTCTCTTTAGACTATGTAAAGTCTAAGGACAACATTGCGGATCTGCTAAACAAAGGGTTAAGTCGAGTGTTAGTCGAAACGTCGTCAAAAGAAATGGGGTTAAGGCCTTTGGAAGTTACCGGAATGGAAACCCAACCTAGTTGACTGGAGATCCCAAGATCTAGGTTCAATGGGACAATCTAATTGCGTGTAACGGTGGTATGTCACTGAGGAGGTTAAACCTCCAGCCATTCCTTCTATTTGTGATACCTGCAAGTGTAGAGGATAAGCTGAGCTTTTAATGACTCTTATGTGTTAAGCTGTTGAGCTAAGCATTGCAGGATACTTTAGTAGAGTCACCAATGTGAGTTTGAAGTGGGGCCGCTTCTAGAAGAATTGGGCAGGCCAAGATTCTTTGAAACCACTCGCTGAACCAGGCTAGTGTCCAGGGCCACACAGGGCACACCAGTGAGAACATAATGGTGGTAGGAGTAATTCCCATGTGAGATCTATTGTCTCAGTTTACATAAACGGTAGCGCAGTTCAAGATGTCTTATTCACTGATCTGCCAATAAACTCGATAGGTTTTCACTGTGAGAGGTTCAAAGCCAAAAGCTACCTTCTCTGATGTCGGGGTTAGTCCGTTGTACTCTCTCTCAGAGTCTTTATTGTTGAACGATGTCCGTTTGTTGAGTCATTCGGTCAATTTTTATTCATGTGGGGGATTGTTGGAAAAAATATTTTTTGGGGACTTTAATTTAATATTAAAGTGTGGTGACTTTAATTAAATATTAAAGTGGGTCCTAACCATTTTTTGTGTTGGGTCCAAGTGAGCCAAAAACCATTGGGTTTTGAATAAGAAATTGCCAAGAAATTATTTCATGATGTTAGATTCATGAATAGGATTTTAAAGAGTATTTAAATCTTTTTTTCTTGACTAAAGGGTGTAAATTCTTTGGGCATCCATACTTTTCATTTCGTGGAAAGGGGCTATGGATGCTTGGTGTTTTAATGACTAGCTTTAAAGGCTGGAGGCTTTTCCTCTCTCCCCTATACATGTATAAATTGAGACCCTCTTGTCAAGTTTCAAATAGAAATTTTTGCTTCCATTTTACAAGTTAGTTTGCTTGATAGTTCCTATTGTGAGAGAGTGCTACCATTGTTTTGTTCGCTAAGCTAGACAGATAGTGCTTCTGCCGTAGTTGGTTTTGACCGTCGTATCCTGGGAGACAGACGCTGAGTTTCCTCAAGCACTCGACCCGTAAGGCGGCGAAATCTGTTTTAAGGAAACTACTTCCGTGCAGGCTTCGGTTTTGTCTCTTTACCCTTTATTGTTTTTTGTATATTTCTGTTGAAATTTAGTTGTAATTATCAGCATATGTTCTTGGTATATAATTTGTTTTCTTCATAAATCTATTTATTTAATTTCACAATTTTAAACAACAATTACGTCACGAGTATGAGGCTAACATAAATTGTTATATAGTATTCAATAACAATAATTATTAATAAAAATGGAAGAAAAAATGATGACTAGTATTGATTTTAGGCAGAAATTTTACATATCTCCCCCAGAACATTTTAATTCACATAATTTGAAAATATATATATATATATTAATTTAAAAAAAATAAAAACGTTCACATTCAATTCAAGTTTTTAATGAAATTCTTCAAAAGAGAGATTTGGAGAGGGCATTTATAGTCATTACAAATAATGAGAAGAAGAAAAAAGAGAGAAATTCTATTTCCATACATGTAATTACCTCAATGCACACACATAATAAAATATTATTTTAATGATAATTATATCATAAATTAAAATGATCATAATAGACATTCACCCACATCCATAATATTAAAAAAAAAAAAAAGCTCAACATCTCAACACCTCGCTAGCTCTTCAAATATTTTCACAGCTTCATCTTCACAGATCAAACCCTAGAAACTCAAATCAATAAGCGGAGAGATATTTTTGGCAAAGTCATATAATACATTTTTATATATAAATAAAATGCTCCGCAAATCTGCATGTAGAGGCAGTTTTACTTTTCACACACATCCACACTCTATTGATCCATCCATCAATCCATTCCAAGAAAATCCAACAAAGCTCCGAACTTGCTCGATCTCAACTGCCATCTTCTACCCTGAGTCCATTCTTTACATCTCAATTTTTTTCCGATCTTAACTGTTTCTTATTTTTTACACAAATTTTGTCAACGTTTTGATGAAGCTTCATCATCACAGCTCTTCAACACCTCGCCAGCTTTTCATTTTGTTCGATAGAGTTTCTCTTCACTGTGGACCGAAATAGGAAAGGCGTTGCTCTTCAATTCACATCCAACATCTGTATTAAAAAAAACAAAACAAAACAAAACAAAATTCTGAGGTATTCAAACTTCAAAATCTCTTGTCAAATATCCCAAAATCTGTCTCAACCATTCTAAATCATCCAAACAAAATTCTAAAAACCTTCCATTTCAATTCTCAAAACAAAAACTACAAAGTGGATCCCCATGTCAATTTTGTGGAGGCGGTTGGGAATAAATAGAAAAATCAAAAGAACTCTCATTTCTAAATTCAGTCTCCATTGGATTGTGCCCCGCTAGATTAAGTGATATTCCCTATAAAAATAAAAATAAAATAAAAAGAAAAGAAAAGAGAATTCATTAGAATAAATTTTATGGACTAAATTACATTACAAACATATATACATTACTTACTTGAGAACTTTGTGGACTATGTGATGCTTGGAAAGATAGAGATTGTGATTGTGGATACCTTAGTGAGTATGAATTAGTATCACGTGTAAGAAGATTATACCCATAATTTATCAATTGTGGCTAATAGAGACTCCCAACATCATACTTCATACAACACCATGAAAAAGTAAATACACTAGTACAACATTGTCTAAAAAATAAACAAATAACATAAAACAAGAGCTAACATGTGGTTGGCTTAAAGATTGAACATTTGTGATATTGCTTGATTGACTAATAGTCTAAATAAGTTGTCAAATTTATCAATACATTACACAATTTGTGAAAAATAAATAAATAAATAACATAAAACAATAGCTAACCTGTGGTTGGCTTGAAGATGAATTTTTAACGTTTGTAGTGTTTCTTGATTGACCAATAATCTAAAGAAGTTCAAAAAGTTATCAATACTTTACACAATTTATAGAAATAAATGCATGTCATTTGAAATTTCAAAAGTACGTAAGTAATACCTTACTAAGACGGGTAGGTTATGAAATAACTTTTGTCTTCTTATTCATCATCTCATGCCAAAGTTTTAATTTACCCCTCACTTTGTGTCCAATATCTTTCTTCTTTATGCCCTTAACTTGTGCAAAGTTTGGGTCATCCACATCTAATTCTTTGGTACCAAAATTTTCAACTCCCTTCATCATATTATTTACTTTTACACAAAATTCCTTAATCCCTTCATCAACTAATTGATAGGCAGGTTTGTGCATAGATGCTTGAATTGCTAGTTTTACAATTCTTGGACAAAGATATCTATAACGTGCTAATATTAACAACTTCGAATCATCCTTATCCATTATAACATTTTTCTCTTCAACTTCACAATCTTTTTCATCCAATCTCCATCGGCCTAATACATACCTTTCAAGAATTTCTGTAACAACCCGAAAAACTTAAGTTGTCCTTTAAATTTTATATTTGTATTATTTAATTATAAATGAGATTATCGGAAAAAAAAAATATATATATATATATATATATAATTAGTTTAAAATTTGGGCCCAAGTATAATTAAGCAACTAAATTAAACTTATCCATTTGAGGGGATAAGCTTCAAATGTAGAGCATAATGATACAGCTAAATAGAGGGGCTCCGTGGCGTAACTACATATGTCATCTAAAACTTGTTTAGCAAGCATTAAACTTGGTATAAAAGGAGGAACAGGTGCTGTGAATGGAACAAGGAGAAAGGGAAAGAAAGGGCAATTGAAGGAAGGAAAGGGAAAGAAAATAATGGAAGTCGAGAGGGTTTTTGATAGTGGAAAGAAAGAGTGAGATATTAAAATTAAGATGAGTTATATTATACCTTGAGTTACCATAATATATTTTACGTATGTTTTGACTTACCATATTTGTTTTATACAAGTTATATTTTATAAACTATTATAAATTATATAAATATTTCAATTACGGAGATTATTTTCTAGACCCTATTTGTTAAAATGAGACCCATGAATATGTTGGTTTATATTTTAAAGAATATTTGACTATAACTTTATAAACAATTATGTTTTGTAAGTATTACCACGGGAGTCTCACGCCTTTGGGGACTTAAATAACCATTGGCCTCTGTTTGGTCACTTTGTGACCCTCTATTGTCATGGATCTACTGACCTCTGTTCTATGCGGAGTAAAGTGCTATGCGGAGATAAGTGCTACACTATTGTGGGAGCCACCTCTATAACCCGTACGAGCCACCTCTTGAATCTGTATCTTTGTTCTAACCGTCACTCATGTGACCTCTATTCTGTTTTGTTCAGTACCGTGGTTATGATTATTTATTTACATAATCTTAGTTTTGCTACTTAAATGATTATTTGTTCAGACTAAGTTATTTTAAATATTTTAGTTACATAACTATCCATGGTTATTTTATATCCCTTATACTCTTGGTATAATATTCCTCACTCTGCCATCCGCTTATAGCTGTTTAACAATTTTCAGGAACCAATACAATTCAGAAATAACTTTTGAAAAGTCTTAGATGCGGGGCTGCGGAATAGACACACACAACAGTTTTATGATATTTTTATATGTAAATATCGGCCTTTTTGGTCAATAAATTTTGTAATAAAAATAGAAACTCCGATGATTGTTTTGGTACCCTCACTTAAATATTACTTCCGCTCGAAGTTATTAATTTTTTTAAGAATTGGCCGGAGGCAACTTCAGTTACTAGCCATCACGATACTTAACCCTTAAGTACGAGGAGCGGGCCGTGATAAGTGATATCAAAGCAATGGTTTATAAAATAAAAAAAAAAAAAATCATCATTGGAGTATAAGATACACGCACATTTAAGAAGTAGGATAGCAGGTAATTAGTACCTAAATATTATATTTTGTTAGTTGATTTAATTATATTATAATTTTATATGATTTTATATATATATATATATATTAATTTTTTTTTCCGTGCAAAATCTATAATGGATATTAGATATAATTTATATTTGTTATAGCAAAAGAAGGAAAAGAAACAAAGGATTGAGCACCCACCAAAATTATAATATAATTAAATACATAGAATTTCCAATTCAGTATAAAAAAAAGAAAAAAGAAAAATTCATTTCAACTTTTTTAAAAGTGGGTTCAAATTTTAAAAATACTAATTTTGAAACTAATTTTCGTCAGTGGAAAGTTCACGGATAAAAGAAATAGAAGTTCATCTCAAATTCTTTCAACTTTTGCATATGATTCTGCCATTCCATTTCCAGATGCTTGTTTAATTGTGTTCTTATTTTATTACAAAACTGATGAAAAGTTTTTAAAATCACCAATTGTTTCTCATTTTGGCCCAAAATAATTTTTGGCAACTAGACGGTGAGTTGTTTTTGATAATTTTTTTTTTTTGAGGTAATATTTTCTATCAGATTAATCATCTAATATATATATTTAACAAAGTGCGCAGCGAATAACCTACACATATGACAAATTTCGAGAATAATTTTTTAAAGGAGAGAAGATTGTAACAATCCAAAAAATTTAAGTTATCTCTTAAATTTTATATTTGTATTATTTAATTATAAATGAGATTATCGAAAAGAAATATATATATATATATATATACATATATAATTAGTTTAAAATTTGGGTTACAGTTAAATTATTCTAAAGTTAAATATTTAGGGTAAGTATGAATTAATCACAAGGAATGCGACGTAGACACGTGGGCAACTCGTGGCTTGCTGCCCACGGTGGCCTCTCCATAAATTGGAGGATTGCTCACGATTGCTAAGAAGGAGAGAAAGAAAACGAAAGAAAGAAAAAGAGAGAAAGAAAGGAAAACTGAAGGAACAAAGGGAAAGAAATGGAAATTGAAGGAAGGAAAGGGAAAAAAATAATAGAAGTCGAGAGGGTTTTTGATAGAGGACAGAAAGAGTGGGGTATTAAAGTTAAGGTAAATTGTATTATAACTTGAGGTACCATAATATATTTTACGTATATTTTGACTTATCATATTTATTTTATTCAAGTTATGTTTTATAAACTATTATAAATTATATAAATATTTCAATTACGTGGATTATTTTCGAATCCTATTTGTTAAAATAAAATTCATAGATATGTTTGTTTATATTTTAAAGAATATTTGACTATAACCTTTTAAACAATTATGTTTTGTAAGTACCACCACGGTAGTCCCACGCCTTAGGGGACTTGAATAACCATTGGCCTCTGTTTGGTCACTTTGTGGCCCTCTATTGTCATTGATCTATTGATCTCTGTTCTGTGCGGAGCAAAGTGCTATGCGGAGATAAGTGATACACTATTGTGGAAGCCACCTCTATAATCCATACAAGTCACCTCTTGAATTCGTATTTCTGTTCTGACTGTCACTCCTGTGACTTCTGTTCTGTTCTATTCGGTACCGTGGTTATGGTTATTTATTTACATAATCTCAGTATTGCTACTTAAATGATTATTTGTTCAAACTAAGTTATTTTCAATATTTTAGTTACATAACTATCCATGGTTATTTTATGTCCCTTATACTTTTGGTATAATATTCCTCACTCTGCCATGTGCTTTTAGCTGTTTACCAATTTTCAGGAACTAATGCAATTCAGAAATAACTTTTGGAAAGTCTTAGATGTGGGGCTGCGGAATAGACACACACAACAGTTTTATGATATTTTTATATGTAAATATCAGTCTTTTTGGTCAATAAATTTTGTAATAAAAATAGAAGCTCCAATGATTATTTTGGTACCCTCACTTAAAATATTACTTCTGCTCGCGTTTATTAATTTGTTTAAGAATTGGCCGGAGGTAATTTCAGTTACTGGCCATCACAATACTTAACCCTTGAGTACGGAAAGCGAGTCGTGTTCGTGACAATTTCCATAACATTCATTCTATCAAATGTTTTGATTGTTTGACTACATAAAATTCTCAAATTCTCAAATTTCTTACAAGTACTATGTATTTCTCGATAGCTTTTTTCTCCTCTTAGCCCAGTAACTTCCATCCTACCCTCCACAATATATTATTCATCATTACCATACAAGTCAATCACGCACTTAAGTTCTCCTTCTAACTCATGGAATTGCTTCACTTGACAATAAATAGATGTATCCAACTCATAATGAAACAAATCAAAGATAGTGTGGAGTACAAACTCGCAACCTGGATTAAAATGGGAGACTTTTTTAATTTCATTCTTGGCAACTTTTGTCTAGAATCATGTATTGCAAAAATTTCCTTATACCGCTTATCTATAACAATCCGATTGAAGTGAGTAAAGAATTGAACAATGTTATGATCACCTTTCAAATATCCCCTTAACATTCCATTTAGACTTTCACTAAGTTGTGTGCTTCGCATTCCTCCAGTAAATTCCCACTTCAGATACACATGCGCCCACTGCTCTCTTTTTCTCCAAGTTCATTTCATTTACTCATTCTCTTGCAAGTTTTATTTATCAATCAAAAAATTCCAAGCTTCAATTAATTCATGCTCATTCTCGTAGTCATAAATGCAAGCTTTTAAATCGCTACTAAATTTTGAACCATTCTTGAACAAGTAACCTAAATGCTTCAAAGCATTTTACATTAGGTGAAAAGTATACAACCCATGAAAAACCTCAGGCATGATTTGTGAAATTGCCTTAGCCATTGCTTGATCTTCGTCTGTGAAAAAACTAATAAGCTTTTTTTCCGACATTACATCCAAAAAAGTTTCAAATAACCATTCCAATGACTTTGCAGTTTCATCATATAATAATGCTACACCAAAAATCATTGTCATTCTAAAGTGGTTAAAGTTAGAAAATAAAGCAAGTAGACGGTACTCCTTATTTGTTCAAAAAGTTATGTCGAATGACACCGCATCACCGAAAAGCCTATACTCTATTATCATCTGATGATCAGCCCAAAAAATATTAGTGATCGTCTCATCTACATCCAACTGAATGGCATAGTAAAAATATGGATTTTCTGCCACTTGCTACTGGAAATATCTTAACAAACTCCTTACTTCACCATACTGCAAGTTTTGCTGTCTTTTTGCACGTAAGTAGGTTTCTAATCCTCCCAGATGAACCCTACAAATTCATTTCTTTCTGCTATAGCATTAATAAGATCATGTGAAGCCTTAAGAGATATTCTAGTCTTATCAGCCATATCAATAGTTATACCCTGAGCATTATATACCTTTCTCTGAGATAGTATCAAATGAGTACATTGAGGAAGATGCCAAAGGTAGTTGTGGTTGTGGTTATTATCAAACTTTGTATAGCGACCCTGGGTTTGACCCTGACCTTTGTTATATTCCGGACTCAGGTTTCGTGGTTTAATATTATTATCTATGTCTTGTTTTCCCTTATTTGTCTTTGAGATTGAGTATTGGAATGTCTTTGGCATGTTTAGAGCAGGTTAGTTACTAGTTGTTCAAGTTGTTGTTCTCTAGAGATTTGCTTTTTCGCTCGAGCGAGGTTTCTTACACTCGAGCGAGCGTTAAACGTTCCTAGTATTTTTCCCTAGACCTGCAAAATTTCTAGGAAGGTAACGTTCTTCACTCGAGCGAGGCTTTTTGCGCTTAAGCGATGGTGTGCGTCTATAAAACTTCTGAGATGATGTATTCTGCGCTCGAATGACGCTTCTTGCGTTCGAGCGAGGTCACTTTTGTGTATAGTCGCTCGAGCGATAACTCCTTCGCTCGAGCAAGCCTCGCGTATATCAGTTCGTAGCAGCTCATTTTTACACTGAAATTTTATATCTTTTCACCCCAAAACCCTAAGTCGGCTCATTTTCTCTCTAAAACTTGACTTCTCTCTACAAATACTCCAAGATCTAAGCACCTCTACCCTACTTCCTTTGAGAAAAATGTGGAGTATCTCGTGGGCTTCCATTTGATCCGAGTAAAAAAGTGAGTTTGGGCAATTTTTGAAGTTCTTCCTCTTCTTCTCTAAGCTTCTACTCTTGAGGTAGGGATATTCTGCACCTTAATATGATTTTTAAGCTAGATATTTGTTGTTATGTATAAATGGTGAAATTTTGGGAGGATTTGGGTAAAATTAGGGTTTGGATTCAAATTGAAAGAGGGGTTTCTATGTTGGGTTCTATAAATGGATTTGGGACTTTGAATATGAGGTTACCTTGGGTTAAAATGGTGAAATTTGACCTTGGCGTTAATATTTTAGAAGTGAGAGATTTGCCCTAATTTGTGTTGAATGATTATTTCGTATAAATAATGGAATTGTTATGGAAAATGTGAAATTGAGAGGATGTATGAATGAATGGTGTAATTGGATTTGTTAAATCACTCACCTATGAGAATTTGATAAAATATCTGTTATATAAATTGTATATCTGTTTTGGGCTATCAGTGGAGGATAGCTATGATTGTTGAAGAAATTGCATGAGAATTAGGTGAATTGAAACTAATCATTTAAATTATGTCATTGAATATGACAGTATGATTAAATCATTGAATATGTTGTGGATAGTCATTATATATGGCGATGTTTTGGATACATTGTATATGTATAATTGTTTGAGAGGAGAAAGGGGATTTACTCTATTATTTGGGAGGAGATAAGGGATAGACTCCATTTAAAATTAAGTTGGTCGGAGTGTCCAGGGTGAAAGTCCTGAAATCTTGTATATATATATATGGGTGCCGATTCCCTCGAATGAAAATTTCGTAAAATGGCATGTTGAAGTGTTTTGAATAATAGATGTTATTGAGTGGTGAACCAATGAGTTGTAGTCTCATTTGGGTTGTTTATATAACAATGAACTAGACTCATGAATTGACTTAAAATGAATGAATGGAAATGGATTGAGATGTGAATATCAATATTGAATGGTCATGGAAATATATAAGTTGGTTAAGTATGTTGAGCATTTATCTGACACTTATATCTTAGTTAAACCTTATATAGTGTGTTAGTCTCTCTCTACTGGGTTTTGGCTTACCCTAATTGGGAAATCATTTTCAGGTACAGGTGGTATGCTTCCTTCAAGAATGTAGCTTGGGAGGACTTAGGAGCTGGAGGCTCTATTTTTGTTATTTCTGTGTTTAACTGTTTATTCAAGCCTAGGGCTTTAAATATATAGAGCTTATGACTCTCTTTTGTGTAACCAAGCTATGTCTTGGAAAGATGTAAGCCCGTAGGGCGTTTATTTTGTTGTTATTAATTAGTGTTACATGTTGTAGTTTCAGAATGAACATTTATGAAAGTATAATGTATGTAATTTCTTTTGTAATATAAACTCTGATATATGCAAGTATATTAATTCCGTTTATATTCTCATCAGTTATGAGTTGGATTATTGGTATCTTTTTGGGGGTGTGACACTTTGACACAATCCACTTCGATAAGCCCCGCTTAAAAGATATATGCATGAATGCATTACAATTTATTCTTGTCTTACTTCGATGATTTTTTATCATCGTGTATCGTTTATCTTTTTCACTCTCTCTCTCCTTACAACAAACAAATTTTCTAATAGTCATAACACCATCTTTATTGCTTTTATTACAATAATCTTTTCTAATATTAAACCCCACAATTCTTCCGTATTCATTATAAAACTCATATGCAGCTTCTTCCGATGGAAACTCCATACCAAGATATGGTGATTTATCCTTGGCCAACTCTCTCATTTCTTCGATGCATCCCTCAAGTCCACCATCATCCATTATACCATCCTCCATTTCAACACTAACAAATATGAAGAAAAAAAATTAAACGAAACAAGAATCTAAGCAAAAAAAGTTATTAATTAATTTTAAATGCTGAGTAATTAAATAATTCAATGAAATCTAATAAATCAATTAATAATGTAAATTAATTAAGAGAATAGGGGAGAGAAAAAAAAGAGATGTGTAATTTGTACAGTAGCATTGAAAATTTATTGTGTCTAAGTAGATTATAATATACAATTGCAAAATTATATTAGAATTAGTATATTATTTAATATAGAGAATCTTTTGGCAGACACGCTTAACGACGTGAATCATATGCCCTCTTATTATATAAATTTTTTATATATGTTTTGTATTTTTGTCACAAATGTTATGTCATTTTTTTATTTAGTTATGACAATTTATGATTAAAAAATTAAATTCGTATTTTGTAGTAAAGTTATAGATTTTTTTATTGAAACTTTTTTTGGACCATAAAATGCATAACATTATTACAAAAATACATAACATTGTTATAAAAATGTGTAATATTTTCACAAAAATACATAGCATTTCTATATAAAAAAAAAGTTATGAGTTACAAATTATCGTAACTCCTTAAAAAAATTATATAATATTTATACAAAAATACATAGCATGTACAAAACAAATTACATAACAAATTTTTTTTCTTATAATATACAATTATGTTTCTCAACCCATTCATAGAAAACAAACCAAACCATTATACTTGTCGAACCCACTAACACCCCGTACAAAATAAAATACAAAACATATATACACATACCAGTTTGTTGAACAATAATGATCTGTAAATTCGGCAGAAGGACAGTGAAGCAAAGACAGAGAACATTGTTCAATCTATTTGAGAGAAAACAAAAATGTATTTTAAAAAAAAAATTAACTTTTTTACTCCATGTAAAGCAGAGACCTTTTGCTTGAGGGGGGTAGAGAAGGCGACGTCAGCTAGGTTGATTATTTTGTTATAATAAAATAAGAATTAATGAAACCCTTACATATATATATATATATATATATATAATAAGGAAGGATAGTTTTTGAATTGTGATGTGTCGTTTCAATTCACGACAGGCACGATCAGGAGTTACCCACAACAGGGACCTCGTGTCCTAATTTTAGAGGTTTTGACTATTTGTAATTTGTATATAACTGGGCTCAGTAATAATGGCATAACACTAGTTGATACACTAGTGTGTACATTAATTGGTGCTTGTAGTACTACCGTTATAATACATTTTTAATGTGAGATTCATTAAATTCATATATTCAAGACATATTAAATAAGGTAAATTACACGGATCAATCTTCAAATTAAAAACAAAAAAATCAAATTTCTTTTTATAATTTTGATATAATTATATTGAATTAGAACCTTTGGCTTAATGGTGGTGTGTCTGAGGCTACAACATTATTTTCTATCTATATGACTAATTAATTATTAATGAAAATGGAATTAATTGTTATGTGAATTTAAAAAAATTAAAAACTCAATATAATTAAGCTAAACTAACAGAATTTAACATATTCCATAGTGTAATTTACTCTATCAAATAATATTTAAAATTTAATATTTTCAAAGGTTATAAAATATATATAAATAAATAGACACCTGGACAGTTGGAATGCCGCTGATAGCAACCTTAACCGTTTTAGCATATAAGAAATCGATATTGTGTGTGTCAATTTCCGATCACACTGCCAAACAGGTACGTAGTTGGAGAGTATCGGCAGAATAGATTAAGTCCAAACAACCTGTCACAAAAAGATAAGAATCCCGCAATGGTTCGTCCACCCGGAGGCGCTCCGACGATCAAGTCAATAAAATATCTCTCAAAGATAACCAATAGTGCTTAACTCACTAGACAGAGCATAAAAGACATACCTTAGACCCATGGGGGTGCCTCTCTTTTATAGTCAACACAATCCTAGTCCCAATAGAAGCCTAGCTCTAATGAACTTAGGATTACTGCTAATCTTAGACTCCCAGTAAGATTGGGATAAACTCTCTAAGAGTTTTATCTTTATCCAAACTGAATTCTTCTCTCACTCTAGGACTCTTGTCCCTTATCCACTTATCCTGGATTTCGGTATCTTCGCAGATAACCTCGGCTTAGCCGTGATTACCTCGGCATCATGACCAGGATACGTGGCACCTCGGCTGGCACTTTGGTGCCACCTTGGCCACGTGCTTTCATTCAAAAAATATGTCCCCACAACTGCCCCTAGGTTCTATTACCTCTGCATCCTGAGGTAATGGAACATATATCATTCCTTTTAGCACGTCGGCTAAACTTGCTCTAACCTTTGCTACCGAGGTCATCATTCATCGGCTTAATATGACCAAGACTTATAGTCTGTTTTCATCAATGCTTTAGAATAATTTGCATGTCTTCAACGTAAACCTTAACTGTGTAATCTCAGCAAGTATGTAGATACTTCTTTCAACATAACCTTGGCTTAACTTGTAAATTTTTCTCAAAAATTTCAACAAGTGTTTAAACCAATCTTCCTTTAATATAACCTCGGTTTAACTTCAACTTGTAAATTTAAAATTTCAACAAGTGTTAAACATGACCTCGGTTTAACTTCAAATTGTAAATTTTTCTCAAATTTCAACAAGTGTTAAACACATGACCTCGGTTTAATTTCAACTTGTAAACTTAAATTTCAACAAGTGTTAAACATGACCTCGGTTTAACTTCAACTTGTAAATTTAAATTTTCAAAAAGTGTTAAACATGACCTCGGTTTAACTTCAACTTGTAAACTTAAAATTTCAACAAGTGTTAAACATGACCTCGGTTTAACTTCAACTTGTAAATTTAAAATTTCAACAAGTGTTAAACACGACCTTGGTTTAACTTCAACTTGTACATTTTTCTCAAAAATTTCAACAAGTGTTAAACTAATCTCAGCTTGTAAATTCAAACTCCCAAACATCATTCTCCAGCTCTCTACTCCCGTGTGTCTTCCTCGGCTCTAGCATATTTCTCAATTCTGGCCATGAGTTCCTCCATACTTTTTGGCAATGTCTTTGCCAATGACTTTCGAAGCAGACAGTCATCTTTCAGGCTGTTCTTAAAGGACACGACCGCCACCTCTTGATTGCACGCGGGTATTCGGTTAAACACCTCGTAATACGTTTTGGCATAGGCCCTAAGGCTTTCACCCTCACTGATTCTCAGAGCCATCAGGGAGTCCACCCTCAACGGCTGTAGTTTGTTCGTCATAAACCTGGCCACAAACATCTCGGCCAGGCCCTCCCAGGTTTTCACAGTTTCTTTCGGCAACTTGTGAAACCAATCTGATGCAATTTTCCCAAAGGACGAAGGGAACACCTTGCAGAGCAACGGCTCGTTCCCGATGTATAATGCCATCGAGTTCAGGTACAAGCCGACGTGAAAGTTCAGGTCTGACTCACCGTCGTATATCTAAAATCTCGGCATGTGGAACCTTTTCGGGGACTCAAATTTGTCCAACTTTACTGAGAACAGTGTCCTCGACTTGATCGGAGAGGTAACCTCGGCATCTTGTCACCTCCTCTGGAGGTAATCCCTCAGATCCTCCTTGGTTCGTCCAGGAGCTCGGCTATCTCCTGATTTTAGCCTTTTCGGTGCACTACTTCCAGTGTCATTGTGAGTCCTTTTAGACTTTCCTCCATTGGTCGTATCGAAGCAAAGTTCCTTCCCTTGAACATCCCGATGTTCCTTGGTGCAGGTTTCTTTGGTTCAACGTGTTTTCTGGGATTCTCCCTTCCTTGATCCTCCATGTCCAGCCTCCTGTGAAGGCCGGTGAGAATGTCCTTTGGTCTCGTCGTGTTGAAAGACTGCAAGAACCGTTTTTTGCCCCCTTTTCTAGGCACCCTTCTTGGCCGCTGGAATCTGCGTCTCTTGCAACGGGTATGGTGGTTGCATGACGTTGTTCTGCATCATGAAGTTGACGACCGTTTGTAGGTCCGCCAACTTGTTCGTCATTCCCTTCATCTCGTCGTCCCTCCGTAGGCATCTATCCTTCCATACCTAGAGATCGTCCTCGTTATAATATCCGCATCGGTCTAATTTCTTTGGCACGTCGCCCTCCTGGCCGGCGTCCTTTTCTCCGTGATTCTTCTCACGGGTCTCTTCATTGTAGTTGTCTTCTTCCATGTTAAGGTCAACGTGTTTACCGTTCCCAGTAGGGATTTCGTCCCCAACCTTATCCTTCTATCTGTCACTGGCCATCTATTCTTCTTTCTTTACCACAGACGGCGCCAAATTGTGTGTGTCAATTTCCGACCACACTGTCAAACAGGTACTCAGCTGGAGAGCACCGGCAGAATAGATTAAGCTCAAACAACCTGTCACAGAAAGATAAGAATCCTGCGGTGGTTCGTCCACCCGGGGGTACTCCGACGATCAAGTCAGTAAAATATCTCTCAAAGATAACCAATAGTGTTTAACTCACTAGACAGAGCATAAAAGACATACCTTAGACCCATGGGGGTGCCTCCCTTTTATAGCCAGCACAATCATAATCCCAATAGAAGTCTAGCTCTAATGGACTTAGGATTACTGTTAATCTTAAACTCCCAGTAGGATTGAGATAAACTCTCTAAAAGTCTTATCTTTATCCAAACGGAAGTTTTCTCCCACTCTAGGACTCTTGTCCCTTATTCACTTATCCCGGATTCCGGTATCTTCGCAGATAACCTCGGCTTAGCCATGATTACCTCGACATCATGACCAGGATACGTGGCACCTCGGCTGGCACTTCGGTGACACATCGACCATGTGTTTTCCTTTAAAAAATATGTCCCCACAGGTATCATCGATGGCAAATGGTTGAGTGAAGTTTTTGTAAGTTAAATAAGAGAACAATTATTTGGTGCACATTGCTCTACCTCCAAAAACTAAAATTAAAAATAGAGAGACAAATATTAATGATTGTCTAATTAAATAGCTATTAATCTTGATAAAATGTATATAAAAATATGTAGAAAGAAATATATTAAATCATAATTATTTTGCCATTAACACTACTTTAAAAAAAGTCTTGAGATTAATGATCCTAAAGGGAAAGGTAGAATTGGCTTGTCTGTCATGAATCATGAAGTAACATGCCATTATTATTGAAGCATAACTCAATTAGATGATCCACCATGATTGGATATTCTACTTTCAAAAAAATAAATGATATATAAATTACTATTTTCTATAATTACTTTCTAAACTCAGTGTCATATAAAAGATGTGATTAGTTAATTATTAGAAAAGATATGAGGGAGAGAGTTGTATTAAATATTTTAAAAAATCATTACGTCATTAGATTTGAAAAATGTGTCTAATTTTTTAACCTAAATACAAGTGCTCTTAAAAAAAAAGGAGGGGAATTCTAAAGTATGAATTTGTCCATTCACAGTTTGAGAGCATTAATTAAAATACTCGGCATATAGTTAGGCATTTTGTGTAAGCTCAAATGTACTAATTAAATATAGTTACTCTTCAAATTTTAGATAAAATATATTTAATTTTTATGATAAATAACTAAAATAAATAACAAAAAGTAACTACTTTTCTTTTGTCAAACTCCACGTAAACTAAAAAGTAGTACTTGGTTATACTCAAATCAATGTTAGTTATCATAATTGACTCAAATTTAATATTTTTTAATTCAATAACTAAAAATAAAATTATATATGACATGCGGAATTTCTTGAGTATGTATAAGTAAAATAGAAGTTTCCTTAAAAAAAAAATACTCTCTCCTTTAAATAAGAAAAAATAAACGGAAAGTTATAACTATCAACATATTAGTACATGTAAATGTTAAAGGGACAATTACATTCCAATGTAATTTTAAAAAAATAATTACATATACATAATAAATTTTATAATTATTTATAAAATTTATCACTAATTTATAATTATATTTTTAAAATGTCATTAATTTAATATTTTTCAATTATAAACAAGATTTAGGTCATTTTTGATGAGAGATTAAATTAAAACCCAAATGATGACTATATATAAATGTGAATATGACTCGTCCACTTAATAAGAGGCTAATAAAGCAAAAAGTAGTCGCCAAAAAGGACTGAACAAAAGATTTGGACTTGGCTTGAACGAAAAATGAAATCAATCCCTCTCGGCCCTGCGATTGCACCACCAATGACTCGGGCTGAAACTTGGACTTTTGACTCCCTGATTTAATTCATAATTTAAACTGATAAATGTTGTCATTTTCATTTTATCTAATCAACTCGGTTAATTCAGATATTTTGTATACTTCATGTTTGTTTGGGTGAACATGAACTTGGAATTGGACTAATAATCCAATAAAATTATTAATCCGATATTTGGTTAAACAATTGAAGTACGGACTAATTATTTTAAACTTGACTATTAGTTAAGATAGGATATATAATCCAACGGATTCGTAGTCCTAGGACTATTAGTCATGGGAATGCTAATCCAGTCCGCCCAAACAACCATGGATAAGTCACGAGTTCAACTTTTTAGTATTTCTCTTTTATTATGAGACCTTTGTTGTTTATTTATTATTTTTTGAGTTTGTTGTTGTTTGATGTAATTCTCTTTATATCGGTTAACAAAATAAAGTAATGTTAAGGATTAAAAATTTAAACATAAAAAAATAATATATGGCTATCAAATTCATTCAAAGTGTGTGTCCCACCATACAAGTGTTGAATTTAAACCACATTATTTTATTTTAGGTAATTTTTTGTGTCTGAATTATTGGTTATTGAACAAAAAAAGTCATTTTTCTTAAATTATAAACGTTATGTATTTTGAAAAATATATATAGAAAAAATAAATTTTAAATGTATGATATAAATTTAAATTTAGTTTCATGTAAGTAAACTCAAAATGAATTTTATTTACACATTTTAAAATTTTTAATATTATTTGATTAGTTGCTTTTTAGAATGTTGTGGTAAACCTAATTTTAAATATCATTTGAAAGTGTTACTAATTCATTGGTATAATATGTAAGGAAAAGGTCACTAAACCAATTAGGTCATGTTTGATTCACAAAATTAATAGTGAACTATTAATAATCCTATTAAATTAGTGTGGTATTCACTATCAATATTCATTGGATTAATAATTTCACCCATATCCCATTACTAATAATCCTACAAATTTGTTGGATTAATTATCCATTGGATTAATAATCCTAAACCAAAGTGTTAAAACAAACATGGAATAATTGGGTCCACAGATTAATAATCTCAATCCCATACTCTGACTCAACTAATGATATTTTTAAATTTTGATAATTTGCATTTAATGAGAGCGGCCTTAATGATAATTTTATTAGTCTAAGATTTCATATACCGAATCAAATGGGTTTAAAGTTTGACAAAATCTCAAGGAGACCAAGTTCATTCCGGAAGTGTCAAAAAAAAAATTGTGAAATAGTTTGACTCCGAGAGAGGTTTTGTATGGTGGAACACAATCTAATTATTTGAAATTTTAGGACATCCCATACATTAATTAAATATAATTTGGCTCTTCTTTGGACATTCCTTGCTTTCTAAATTGCCTCATTTTTATAAATTTTAGCAACAGAAAAAGTGAAAATTATTGGACCAAAAATGTTATCGAGAAGTCAACGAGTCAAAGAGTATTGTTGACAGGTAATTGGATTTATACTGTCGATTACCTATTGTTATTGTGTAACCTATCACTATTGGATCAATAAATAAATAAATAAATTCATTCTTTTTGTATATTTAAAAAAAAATAACTTATGAGTATAGTCTCGTTTAATAATATTTTTATTTTATTTTATTTAAATAAAAAATAAAAATAAATTCTTTTTTAATTATGAAAAAGTATAAGGCTTAATATATTGCACATCTGATAATAAATTATTCAATAAAGTACATCAGACACTATAGGAAAAACGAGTTTTAAAACGCCGCTAAAAGCTTGAAAAACGCCACAAAAACGTTACAGTGACGTTTAAATTTTTTGTCATTGATACAACCGCCGCAATAGCTTTGCAACGTTTACAAAACGTCGCTAAAACTATTAGACGGCATTTTTGAAAATGCCGCAAAGGCTTTGACATCCGTCTTAACTTCCGTCCCAAATTAACGGATGACGTCACAATGACGTCATTTAAACGCCACTTTTTTTTTCCTTATATATATATATATTATTTATTATATGAAATGAAATATCAATTCCCCTCTCTGTGTGCTGCTGCTGCTGCTGCTATACGAATATGAAAAAAAAATACCAAAGTTGGCATTCTCTGTATAGTTGCTGTAAAATACAATCCAGGTTTTCAAAAACAGAATTCCAAAACATTAAAAACAAAATTCACTAGAACAATTACAACAAAAAATACTCAAAACAATCATCAAACAGGCCTTTATCCCATGAAAATTATGGAACTAAAAAGAATTATAGAACAAAAACAATCAATTAAATATTAGAACTTGCATGAACGATGGTCTGGATCAGCAAATTTTGATATGCCAATGACTGGTCTGCTCTCTCATTTCTGTCGATCCATCCTCATCTTCCTCATTCTCTTAAGACATTTCCTCCAATGATTTTCCTTTCGATTCAGGCACCAAGAACGTAAACACCATAACCAAGAAATTGACTCTGCCAAGAACCATGAGCGCATTCCTCACACCAATACTCGGTGGATACCCTTTATCTGTCTTAGTTGGGTCCTGATTCTGAGCTACATATAAGAACCCGAATGCCCCAACAATTGCCCCAGCTTTCCCAGATGCTGCTGATATGCCATGACACGTAGATCGTAGCCTTGCAAGGAAAATCTCAGTGGGGACAACAAAAGTTGTTGTGTTTGGATCAAAATTGGCAAAAAAGAAGGTTAGCGAGTACATGACAATGAACCCAATTTGGTTCTCCTTATAAGTCCATTGATTGTAAGGAATAGCTAAGGAATTCATTTTCTTGGCATCGGGAATCCACCCGATTGCACTGAAAATGTCCTTTTGGAAAAGGTTTTGACTGTAGAAGGCGATGTCGGAATATAACACATTTTGAAAGCAACAAGATTTGAATTTGGTGAGTTAGCAAAACTGACAATTTCAAAACTCCAACAGAAAGGTAAGAGGTCCACCAGCTCCAACAGATCCTCCAAAGATTTCGTTGTATCAAATTCATAAATAGCCATAGCAAAGCATAGAGCTTCATCTCCTCAAACATTCTAAATTGGTTTTTTTTTTTCCCCCTTCTAACCAATTCAAACCTGCCTTCAATAGTTTTGAAGACACTTTGAAACATGTAGACTCTTCAATAGCTTGAATAAATGCAGCAGACATCACTGAATTTTGACCGGAAATATAACAAGAAAATGTAGATATGCATCATCTATCTGCAGTGATCACTCTACAGTAGTTGTTCTCTTTTCTAACAACGACTCCAAAAATGATGAACATAATTTGGTCAGAGGAGGAAGGCTATGAGATGATCCACTAAATATGGTCTCCCATGGCTTTTCTGATGCTACAAATGGGGCTGGCAGAGTCTGCTTTCCTGCCTTCAAGTTGAACTTTGGTAACTCTCCGTAAATAGATGCATAACCGAACTGGCCTGTAAAAAGGAAAGGCGAAGAATCACCCATAAATCTTAGGGAAACAAAAACTATGTAGAAAAAAATTCTTGTCACTTGACAGATCCAATACAACTACAACTGCAATATTAGTTATGAAACCAAAAGGGAATTTTAACAGAATAATTTCAGTTGTCAATTAACAGATTCAATGCAACTACAATTGCAAGGTTAATTAAGATGCCAAAAAGGAATTCAAAGAAGAAAAAATTCAACCTCCCTGAAAGAGTTCAACTACTTCTGTCAATTTTTTAATTCCCTGGATAAATGAAGCAGCCCCAAAAGCAACCATTTCTAACATTGATTACGGACATACTTAGCAAAATGTAAGTCGTATTTATATTTCCAATTTGATAAATCAGATGAACCAAAGGTTCCAAATTTTCCAATGTAACAGCACAATAGCATATTCGTGCACACACCCCACAAAAAAAAAAAAAAAAAAAACATTATAGTTACACAGAATCTGATTTTCTATAATATAATGTATGAATATGGATATGAAAGAAAAAAGTTGTAGAAGTCTTGACCATTGCCAGTCTCCTGAAAACCAGATAGACTCTGCCGACGAGCAATGCCTTGCTCACATGCTTGTTGTTCACCATATGGGTCAAAGAGGATGTATTCATGATCACCATTAATATATGCAAGCAACACCGAGGCTGGATTTTCATCTAAAATCTTCTCTTCCAAGGCACTTGGATTTGTATGAAGAAAAGCAAGCCCCCCCTCCCAGTGTCTACAGTGAGAATGTTAAAATTTGATGAACGATAATGCAAACAACAAGATGTGGGAATATAACACATGAAAGTGAAATGCAATTGAAATTATCTTGTGACCACAACATTACTAACAGTGTCATTGAAAAAAAAAATTTGCATAGAAAAGTATACAGAATGATATGATGTGGCAAGTTGGAGCTATCACTATCAAACACAACTCCTATCAGAATACTTGTTAATACACATTATTCTGATGAATGAGTCTATATAAATTTTTTTTGGAGAATCACATAATTTGATTAATAATATGATAATATAACACATCACTTTATATCCAAATTTGATGCCCATAAAATTGTTGAGTTTCAAATACCATAATATGACCAAATTCAAATCTCGTTGCTTCCAAACAGAGGATTATCAATTGGCTCTATGCAACTAATAAGAAAAAGTAAATCTAAACAATACATTTGGGTGACTAAACATGGAACCCTCTAGTGTGTGCCTAGTGACTAGTAAGAAAATGAGAGAGAAATGTTGTGTACCATTTTTCTATAATAATAACTAGTAGTACTTAAACTCAACAAAACATGGAACCCTTTACCTTGTGTTATGCTATTTTTGTTGAGTCTTTCATTGAGTTTGTCATATCTACGTCTTCTTCTTTTATTTCTTTGATATGTAAACCTGCATTTGATAAGAACAAACAATATGAATAAAATGCCATATTAAAAATTTCATAATTAACTATTTACTCACTTCCTCGAACGAACGATGGCAATTAAACGATGAGGTGTATGCATGGGATTGTTGTTATGAATGCACATGTGTAGCAGTTGGTGCAACAGGCCCACCCATGGCCTGATGAGACTCCAATTGCTCTATTTGTGCTTGTTGAGCTTGGATTGTGCTTTGCATCTCCATTTGTACTTTATGTTGATTAAGCATACCATTCATCATCTCCTTCATTTGCATCTCCATTTGTGCTTTATATTGGTTAAGTTGCTCTTCGACTTGCGTTTGGATGATACGAGTTTGTTCTTGTGATTGCCTATATCCGCCTCCAAAGACATCTGTTGGAGAAGGACCCAATCCGTCTGTTCGAACACGACCAGGTTGCTCAGGCCCTAGAACCTGTGTGATAATTTCTTCATCTGCAGCATTGGATTGCGCCCCAAGCTCCTTCATTTGTGTCTACAATTGTTAATTAGTTAATTAGCCTCCAATAAAATTCAACTTACAAGTAAGACATAATAACGACCACTTAACTGCCATGACAACATCTAAGACTAAAATGGAGCAGCACAGAAATGAAAACCATAAAATCATTGCCAAAAATACAAACAACAGCAACCACACGTCTTTCCAGTAATATGCAGCCACACATCAAGAGTACAAGACAAAAGCTAGCATCAGTAGCCACACATATTTCCAGTTTATGCAGCCATTTAAACAAACAATCTATCATTACCAAACAATCTATCATATGACTAAGCGATCTCACTTCTAGGTACACAACTAAAACCAGCAGAGCAAGTTCATCCAACAACAGACACAACAACATATATAGTCAGACACAACGGCATAACTATCTACTTTATCTCTCTTCAAGTTTAGATTTCTACTTTATTCATCAGGTCGTTTCTACATCAAATCTGTTCATAGTCTCTATGATTCAACTCACACTTGTGTGCCTGTGTATATTTGCCTGATTGGTTTGGAGTAAGTGGATTGTTACTTGTGATTTACTGATTAAAATGAATGTTTTTAATAAAGAAGCCACAACAGCCTTTGCATACACTCAATCATTTTTATTTTCAGATTTTTCCTTGATCCTGTTTCAGACCGTTTTCAAACCACACAATGACTCAACAAAACAGTTCTGGCAAACGGCTGCTAAAATGCATACAAAAACACCACCCATGACCTATTTCAGAAAATAAATGATAACCACCTGGGAAAGTGTTGCGTGGATTGCAAAAGACATTTCAGATAAGGAAAATAAATTTTATTGCTCTGAAAAAACCTACACTCAATATAACACCCCCATCAAATGAATGTTTGAATACCAATTAAAAGTGTTACCAAAATATGGAGGAAGCAATTTACAATCTGTGACCACATCTGGTTCCACTCCTCTTGAGACACTATTTGTCAAATGGTATATGTATAGAGCAGTGTTATCAATGGCATTACATTATGATGACTTCGTATATCTAGTCAGTAGTTATAATGCAGCACAAATATGATGTTGCCCTTCTTCCATCTCCGTATGTGTATGTGTGTACAAGTATTGCCCTCACATCACATTCTAACAATGTTTTTGGAGCTCAAAGTAGAAATAGTTGTCTTGATGTTGTACTAGCCTATAACTCAAGCCCAAAGCATTTCTCAAAAGTAAAAAAGAAAACTTAATTCCATACATGCAAGGTATATACAAATGGTGCTATATACCATGACATCAACAACTTTATCAGTACTTGGCTTGTTATCCTTCGAGTACCTAGCCATCCACACCTCTAAGCGAGTTGCAGGAACTCCATTCTTCTTATTAGTTTCCTACAATTACACTCAAAATTAAGTAACAAAATCAAAACATACAATTTCAATTTGAAATATAAAGAAACTATAAACCTCTACTCGAACAACTGAGAATGGTTTTTTGCTGGTTATGTGATTTAATGTCTTATTCTTCCGAATTTCTTTGTTTTTTGTACTTTTTTTCTATTACATATGAACACAAACACAAGAAAATTTATTAATTAACAAACTCATCTTATGAGATTACAATAGAGTTCAATAAACAATCTAACACTAATCCCATGTAAAAGTACAATTTAAAATTAAATGATACATGTGCCTTCTGAGTGCCCCAATAATAGACTAAGTTCCGTCATTGATGCTCATATACTCTTTCGGGTCGATGAGTTAACCTATCAGTATTGTTGTTGAATGGCGTATACCCCATTTGTTTAACTTTAGCCTTCCACTCTCTCCATTTTTTTTTCCAACAGATGCCAAAACAAATTTTTTCATTGACTCGTCAGCATCTGTATTGACCTGCAAATAATTGGCAATTTTGTGACTATTACATACACACAGCAGCAACAACATACACGCAGCAGCACACACACAGCAGCAAGCCCACAGCAGTAGCTAACATACTAGTATTTTTTTACTTTGTGACTACTGCATGATGTTAAAGTGAAAATTTTATACCATAATATAAAGAAGATCATAATCATAAATAAAGTGTTCTAACAAATAAATTCGTCATCAAGGTGTAACAGAAAAGTTCATCAATCATATCAACAACTACAATAATAAAGAGAATTTCATCAATATTCCATTCAAAACAAGTCCATATTTTCATGGCGAACAATGAAGAAAAGACATTCCCAAAATAAGAAATGAAATAATTCTTTTTTGGGAATGTCTTTTCCTAAAATAAAGTGTTCTAACAAAATAATTCTTTTTAGCTCCAAGTTCTATAAGTGAGGGGCATAAGGTTCCCATCTTGAGCTAAAACACCTAAACGAAAAGCCAATGATGTATACCCGTCAACCACTTGGTTCAACTCATTAGGCACAATATGTAAAATGCCACCACTTGGGTTCCAATCACTACCATGCATGAGTGTTGGGCCTCTCGAACTATGACCTACTTATCCAAATATCAATATCAAGTTAGAAGATACTAGAGAGAATGATAAAAATTGATAAGATACTAACAAGTACAAACCCTACACTAGCAACTCCAAGTAAAAAGGTGAGACAAATTATGAGTTCTCTAAAGTAGTGCAGCAGAGCACACATTCATAGAAGTATCAAAGGAAACACTTGGCAAAGTGAAAGGATTGGATGAAGCAACAAAAGCTATGACCTCAAGAAAATACTAACTGCCATCATAAGAATCACGAGATTGTGAAATTAGATCAGAAGTTTGGGGTAATCAGAGTCAGTAAAATATTTGTGTTTAAAGGCACATCTTATAAATTATAACCAAGATATTAACTTTAAAATGATGGAGGAAAATAATAAGATTAGGTTATTGAAAACATAAAAACTGTTCAGATAACGGAGGAATTTAATCATATATTTTGCTTTCCCTATTGCTAGAAGAAAAGTCATAAGAAAAGTAAGGAGTGTGATACCCAAAAATAGAGGCATAGAAACAACTGAGGATCAGATGTTGCATGAGAGTAATAGAAGATAAAATGGTAACTGAAAAAAAATCAATACTGAAAGACATGGCATATGCTGAACACATTTTTTTTTCTTCTTAGCGTTAGTTCAACATCTAAACACTATTAGCATCAAAATTGGTCAAAAGAACAATTGAATTAAAGAACATAAACAAAAAAAATCTAATGAAATTAATGCAATTGAATAAAATAATTCATACCAGCTGTAGTGTCATGTGTTGAACCAGTGCTTGATAATGTACTAGGCAAGCTACCTGGAGGATACCATGACATGGGTGGATCAAGTATGATACATGTACTCTCTTTTGAACTCTCATCTGCACTCCCATTATAAGAACTCTCAGAATTTACAGAGGCTGAATGCTG